TAAAGCACAGTTACCTGTTGACATCTATTTTTGCCTTAAATATTTTAAGAAGTATGTAATTATAACAACAATGTATCATACACGGCTTCCTTTTTGATATTTACCATATCATTTATTTCAGTGACCAACCACTTACAGGGGTTAGAGACAATGAAAGTGAAACACCTGGTTTTAGACCATAACACCCTTTCAGACAGCTTCCTCTTGCATCCACAGTTAATCCTGTTGGATGTGGTTCATCCTTCTTGGTGGTATGCTGACATTACCCTGGATACTGTGGCTCTTGATACATCACAAAGACTTGCTGTCTTGGTCACAGATGCACCAACAAGACGTGCACCAACAATTTGTCCTCTTTTGAACTCTGGTATGTCACCCATAATATTGTGTGCATTGCAAGATTTTAAACAAAACTGTGCTCTTACCCTGCTAATTGAACCTTCACATTCTGCTCTTACTTGTGCAATGTGCAATTAATGAAGACTGCACCAGGCTGGTCCATTTTAGCCATGAAACCTCCCACACTAAAATGACAGGTGTTTCAGTTTCATTGTCTAACCCCCGAACGGTATGTGTTAAATAAGGGAATTCAAGCAACAAAGATCACTTTACCTGACCTTCAGCTTTGACCTTTTTATCCCAAAATGTTTTCAGACCTCCGTTGGGACAAGAACAATTATCATGTCAATTTTTACTGAAATCAATAGCTTCGTTCAGGAGATACAGTGCTCACAAGACAGTGTGAGAAGACACCCGGTAACGCACCGACAGACAACCACAGAACAGTATGCCTTCAGCCCCAATGGGCTGAAGGCATTAATGATCATTGCATTAGGCAATGTTTGTTAAGCAATAAACAACCCTGAGTGAACTAATATTTGATGGTAAATGTGGGGGTCCAAATGAACTGCATTTTAAATGGGGAGGGGGGGATCCGTCACATGCACATRAAATTATATACTGTACTTTACCTGGCTGCATACAGCTGCACATGTATGCTCGCACCATTATCATTTTGCACATATAAATACACTTTCTGTTTGCAATGTAGCTGATCACTATTGCACAATATAAATAGTTGTGTTTTTATTTTTTTTGTGTGTAGTCGTATTTTTCTATTTTTAACATCCAGTGGGGATGGCAAAGTAAGAATTTCATTGCACAGAGAAACACATTTCTTTACTGTGCATATGACAATAAAACGTTGAATTGAATTGAGAGCAGCCTTCTCAATAACTGGCGGTGGGTGGCAATTTCTTACATTAGCTAACAAGAAACAAAAACCTCCCACTTACAACATCGCTGAATGTAGAATACACTTCTTCAGTGACGTGCAAATATTGACTTCATCCATGAAGGAAATTTGCCTGATAACGATCTTTGCTCAACACTCCTGATTCGTGATTGTACCTGCCTCCCCTCACTGCTAACGTGACATAAGCCCAGAATGCACGACTGGTGTCTACAACCAGAAAAGACAGAGGAGGGAAAACGTGACACAGACAGAAAAAGAAACGAGTCAAGAATTTGTTTCTGTGCTGCAGAAAGAGAGTAACTTCAGCTGACCACAGTTTGCTGATCAATAAGCAGAGTTTGTACGTTCTGTTAGCCTGAGCTGTGATGGAAAGAAAAATACCGTCCAAAAAGGCCGTCATACCGCCCAGCTCTAGCAAACTCTTCCTCGCTGCTTTTGTCATTTGCTGGACAGCAGAGGATGATGATTGTAATCCTGAATCCCTCCTTTGTTTTTGAGGCCACTCTACGTATATACATAGTAAGAATCTCCCACCACCTGAACACTCATGCCTTTTGCTTTTTGCTCATCTCCAGTCGAGGCCTGTCCCCCCTCCCAAAGTTTTGTTGTGTCCGCTAAGCCCTCTCGAACAGCCTGGCTAACCTCTTGTATCAAAGCTGCGTGCGCAGAAGTAGCAGCTCGCATCAAAGGCGGCGAGCTGTGTATTGTCTCTGGACCGCCGTTAGCCTTTGAACCTCCCCCGCCACCGATCTGCGTAACAAAGCTTCAATTAGGCGACATCAGAACATAGAAAGCGATGGTCCCCTTCTCCCCCCCTCTCTTTCTCTCACTCTCTCCCCCACCCTCATTGCAGGCCTACTTGATTTACAGACAGGCTTTTTTTTTTAGAGTTTTCCCGCTCAGTCAGCTGCTGTTATTGTTAATCAATCTTAACCACCCACACGGCRATGACGGTAACTTACAGATGAGAGCAAACAGAAGCAGATTAATCAGAATCTATTAGAGGTGTGTATTTCAAAGGGCGGCCAACATGAAGCGGTAGTTGCGGGTTGTTTTATGTTTTTCTGTTTTTGGTGTGACAGATTTAAACGTGGACCACACGAAGATGTGGAAAGAGGGAGTGTAAACCTGAGTACCAGTTTATACACTGTTTTTTTTGTACTTATTAAATACAATTAATGATATTTGTACTGTTTTCCATCTCACTGTTTAACAGCTGATAAATTCATTCATTCATTCATTCAATTTTTGATGTTATATTTTTTGTCTGCTGAATTTAAACTTGATAACAGCATCGTCATTTGGGTGCCAAACTATAATAATCATACACAAACGATCAGATTAAAGCATTTTTTTTATTCTCCAAAATTATCCCTGACATCATAGGACATTCATTTGCTTAAAAAAACAACAAAAACAACATTCTGTAAAGTAGTTTTTCTCACATAAATACAAAACATGCTGTTGTAAATCAGTGTTTACACTGAACAAATATTGAGAATCTGGATGAATATTTTCCGATCATTTTGGTATCAAATCCTTAAAGTCGTCTAAATTCTTTTCTCTTCCTCTGTCATAAGTAGTATTGAAGCATGATAGTTGAATTTAGGTTACAAAATTCAAGTGTTTTAAAAAACATACATATTTATTCACACACAGCTTTGTTGAAAATGTTTTATATTGGTGTTTAATAAAACTTGTTGACATTTTTTCCCCAACCCTGTACAGTAATGTACAGTATGATTTCATGTGTCATGCATTCAATAACCACTAGATGTCGCTCTAAGCTGGAGAAAAACCAAAGATCAGCCTGTTGAACATGTGTTGCCTGCAAAACCACACAGATTTCCTAATGAAAGAGCAGCGAAAATATAAATTAAACTGAAACAAGATTTGCTCAAAATGTTTAGTAACGGTAATAAAACAAATAATTATGATTTATATCAAAAGAACATGCAAAGTGAATAAATTATAATTTTTCAGCTGGTTTTAAATGGGTAAAATTATGATCAACAATGTTCTTTATGCTGCTGTTTTGATAATTAACATTTAACACTTAAAACAATAAAGAGAAGTAAACGATCTAACACTCCCAGATGTGATTATTATTATTTTTTTTAGATTCTGCGTCGAATATTATATTTTCATTTTGCGTTCCACGTGGCTGTAAAACCAGATGCCTTTATTACCCTCCACTTTGTAGACGGTGGAACTCCTCACAATGAGCTACCTCTCCTCAACAGATTGCCATTCCGCCTAATTTATGCAGGGTAACCTTTTGTAAAATGTCCATATGCTTGATATGCCTCTCTTCATGCGGGCGYTTTGCTAAGCAGCTCACTGTAAACACAGATGGACCCAAACTGCTGCAGAGATGGAGGTGAACATCTGTATGGAAAGCTAATGCTTCTGTATCGCTGCCCTGTATGGAAACAATCCTCACTGTTTGCATGAAATACTCCAGGATTAAATAAATAAAAAAAACATTTATCCAAGCTTGATTTTGATGGGGATTTTTGTTCAGGGAGTAGGCACTACTTTTTTTTTCTTGGCAGAGATGATTGAGTTCAAACATCCTCCCCTCTGCAAGCTGACTCGAGGCGTACAAAGGCCACTGATGAGGTAAAACGAGTTCCCCTCGCCCCTATAATCTCCTTGTTTTGCTGCCATTCTAAAGAAGATGTTAACAGGGGTGGGGCACCATCGTCCCCCCCCGTCCCCCGTATATTCACATGCTCTACCTCCCTGAATGAATATCCTCGTGTGATAATTTGGTCCAAAAATTATCGGGCGATAGATTGGCAGGGGCCATCAGGAGACATTGGGCCACCRTGAATGGCAGGAGTTGCTTTATTTGAGCCTTTTTTTTTTCAAGGAGCTGCAGGTTTCAAACTGCCAGCTAATGATTGAATTAATTCAACAAAAGCAAATGATGTTTCTTTGGTTCTCAATGGCAGGGGGAATTCAAAGAGCAATTCTTCAGTGCCATGTCATCTCAAGAAAGGGAAAAAAAAAAAGAAAAGAAAAAAACCGCTCAGTAAATAATACAGAGCAGGAAGAAAGCATTTTACAATTTAAACAGGCATTAGGAGTCATCACCCTCGGAGCACATCTCTCACTCCAACTCCCCGCAATCCGCGTTTAGGATTCACCGAATTTAATATAATAAATGCACTGTTTATAAATTTAGATAAACCCATGTGACATTTAAGTGTAATTCTCATTTAAATGGGACGCTTTGCCTCCGAGTGTTAGAACAACACGCATTCTATTACACACGCCGGGCGCCATTGAGAGGCGCGTTTTACATAATTTCACTGGCTGTCTGAGAAAATGAATAAACAAAGAATTATGTAAAAATGTTGTGATCTGAATTACGGAAGTAATGCACATGATTAAGATGCGTAGGAGTGGGGGTGGTGGTGGTGCTGTGCGGAGTGTTGGTGGACGTATAAAGGCAASAGGAAGCCACAACACCGGGTAGGTGTACTGAACTCAAAACAGCCAAGTGGGTAAATACTTTAGGGGACTAAATTGCGTGCAGCAAATACAAAATTAACTAATTTTTATTGCAGAATATTTTTTTAAATGTTTTCCTTCATTCTTGAAGCTTTATGGTGATTTGCAGGTAATCATTTTACAATAATTATCTTTAAGGTAATTTTTAGATCTATTAATTCTATATTTATAGTATTTGTTCTGTAGTTTTTAATCAAATACCACAAAATATTTCAWTTACTACAGTTCAGTTCAGTGTAAATTCACGTCCCTTTCAGTAAAAACTTGCAGAGTTTTTATTATTTTCCACTGAATCATTTCTGTTCTGTTTTTGTCATTTTTCTTCTGTTTCAAACAAAAAGCTGCAGCGTCCACTGGTGTCTTGTTCGCTACCTGTGTCAGGCCCCCCCTGTGGCAGCTGGAGCCGAGTTGAACTTTCTGTCCTGCATCAAGGCGGTTTCCAAAACAAGATGATTGAACTTTGCCATTYGCGTCCGCTGTTGTTTTTAATGGCAGCGCACAGGGATTTTCTTTAAAGCGCTGCCAACCGACTCACATTAGCATGCCATTTAGACCCCACGTTCTTGCCTGAAATAACACTTATTGCATAATATCCAGATGAACAATCGACGGTAATATGCCACAATTAGGCCGAAAAAAAGCGTTTGCATCTGCCAACCCTCCACTAGCCGCCATTATTTAGCAGTAGATACACAAAGGGTGATGGGGCAGCCGTTTGATGGACACGCAGGCCTTTTGATTTTTAATTGTAATTGTAATCCTCTCCACTTGAGGACTTGGAAATGCATCGTTTGAACCCCCTCACCACCACCACCACCACCACCAGCAGCAGCAGCGCCGCCGCCACCGCCTCACTCCGTCACCTCCTCCTCCGGTAGAGATGTGGAGTATTCAGCGGCTGCCCACTTCTCCATCGTCTGTAGYTTTAAAAGGTGTAATCCCAATGAAATGTAAATCACAGTTCTTGAAAACAAATTACGCTCAAAGATAACAGGGCCAGCGCTCTATCAATAAGGCATCAAAAAGGGCTGGAGCGGCTCCTCCGCGTTGAGTGTGTTTCTGTTTTTTTTTTCTTTCTTTTTAAATATATCTTCTTTCAGAGGTCAAATTGCAGCAGGTCTTTTATCAGGGGTAATGGTGAGCTGTCAACCAAGCCAGGTTGATTACAAGGTTATAGTAAACAATCCCGTCTAACTGCTCTGGACAAACTGAAGGGGAGGTGGTGGTTGTGGATGGGTGGGGGGTGGGGGGGGGGCACAGATGAGGTGCATGCATCACATCACATTCATCAAGCAGATTTAAATGAATGCTCAGAGGTTCGATGGTTGCCATCACCGGCTCCCCCTGTCTCTCTAACTCACAATAATTGCCTCTATTTCTGCTCCTAGTTTAGTGATTTTTTTTTTTCGGCAAACCATCACTTAGTTAGCCAGCCGCTCCATCAAGCCGCTTGTAAAAATGGAAAAGGTAAAATTTGAAAGTAACTATCGGGCTTCAAAAGGATGTTGCGCATTGAAGATGCTTCATCTCAAAATGATGAAGACAGAGAGGTGTAAACAGACAACTTCTGCAAAGAAGCAGGTTTAGTTTGAAGTCTGAGGACCGATTCCACGTAGAACCGGAGAGAACTGGCCCTGGGCCCCCCTCGCCCTCTGCAGCGCCTGTTATTGAGCTCAATCAGCTTCTTGTTAGTGCCAAAGTCGTTCAATTAAAACGAGCCGGGGAAACAAATTTGCTACAAATCGAGCCTGTTGATGTCCTTCGGAGCTGAGAGAAAAGCGAAAAAGAGGGAGGTGACGATGGCAGGGCAGTGGGAGGGATCCGTCTTGGCAAGGTTTGCCCCCCCCCACGTCTCGAGTCGGAGCCCTGATAGAAAAGATACGCTGGCAGCCAGGGGTAGAGGCCAGACTTTCTTGGGCCTTCTCCATTAAAAGGGTGGGTGGAACAATCGGCCCCGTTGTTTCGGGCCAGGAAAGTGATGGGGTTGCAAATGGAATCCTGCGGAGGGAAACAAAAGATGAGGAGATCATTTAGTGCAACCTGACTCTCTGGTAGGTGCCCCTCTCGGACACGTTAATTGATCTCATTTGTTACCTATACCAGCCCGATCAAGCTGCTATCATTGCCGGGGAGTAGTGGGGGGTCGGCTGAGCCTTCCTTGCAGCGTCACGTCCTGTGAAACAGAAAGAGAAGGCTGCTTATGAGGAACTAAATGAATCAAAAACATTTGAACGTAGTAAAAATAATCAAATAAAGAGCAAGGAGAATGATGTAGGTAAGTTTAGTTTGATGCTCTATCCTTACCGGCTTCATTTCACTGCTGCTCTGACAGACCCTGAAACGAAACACTCCCAAATATCCCAATTACACCTGCACTTCTTGTCCTTTTGTAACAAGAATTCTRCCTTTTTCCACTCCCCTCTTTGAATCTCGGCAAACAAAGTGGACAATTGTGCAACGTGGAGCTGAAACGACCTGCTCAAACATCCATGTCTGTTTTACTGTGGGCGTACAGATCGGATGTACTTTTAATGGTCCCCATTGGACACTGCATTAGTCTGCCATTCAGTAAAATTAATGCCCATCTTCTCTTCAATTTCCAGCTTTTTAAGTATCAAATTTACCATTGTAAATTTCTGACACCTTCGGTGAGATTTTCATCTTAATGATAAAGGAAAACCACATAATATAGCCCACTTTCCCATTCCTCTACATTGATTTTAGTTGGGCAATGAAGTGCGTTACTTCTTGTCCTCAGCGAGACAAAAGTGCAAGTTTGTTTGTTCAAGGTTCTCTGAAAAGTGAGCGTGCGATYTCTGGCTGTGTTCTTTTGTCTCAGTGTGTCTTTCGCAACTTTGCCCCCCGCCTGCCGGCATGTCTTCTGAGCTGGCATGGCAGGGTGAGAGCTCTCCAAGCTGCCTGCAGCTTCTCATGCATCCTGCTTGGCTGTCACAAGTCGAGATGGGCGCCATTCAACCCAATTAGTGAAATCCACTCTGATGTTGGGAAGAGGGGCGAAAAAAAGGAGAAAGAAATCACATTTTTATTTTGCCCCTGTCCGTCATGTGCCAATTTCAGTGGAAGTAAGAGAGTGGCACCAATTAATGACCGAAGGCCGGAGGCGGCACCGGCACTGGCACAAGCGCAGCATGTTTCAAGCGTCGGGTGGCATCATGCAAGGCCTGCTTCTCCGCCGATGCTAAAGCAAATGAAATGAGACTAATGGGGAGCTCGTTTCCAGCCACTGATTAAAAGGCTTGGGAGCTCCTSAGGCATTGCCCAGGTCCAGGTCCCGGCCCAGCGTAAGTGTCACACTGCTCCTGTAATGTCATTTTGGACGTCGGCACGTCCGTCTCCCCGAGGTCATCTTTCTTCAGACTCTCTCGTTTTTGTTTGTTCCGCAGCAAAGGCGGGTTAGGAAATCTACACTTTCCTTTGGGGTGTTAATTAAGGGGAGCATCCAAAATTAATCAGCAAATTCACTAGGGCGAGGGACGATGTGTCTGAAGGCCTGGAAACAAAGTCCGTGGAGCGCCCACGGAGAAAGGAGCCCTCGGCTATGGCCAGGCAGATAAACAAGTGCACAGACGGTGATCTGACACAAAAATTCATGTAAGTATAAAATTTTACTCTCATTTTCCCTGTCAGCTTGTCACAATGAATTATAAAGGTTGATTCGCTTATGTGGCTAAGGGAGCTCATCCACGTCATCCACGTCAGCTGAACACCATCATATGGTCAACGTCTGCTGGTGGAGGCCTGCAATACCACCAAGCTGAAGCCACATTGCCTGGACCAGAGATTAGGCTAACCCAAACATTTTGGAGATTAATGAAAGCCAAAATCGTGGCAACGATTTGAAAAGTTCCAGTTTAAACACTCAAATTGTTTGAGTTTTCTTTTGACACGTTCATCCACCTCCTTTCTCCTTTCAGTCACCTTATCCCCCACCTTTATTGGGCGAGCATACTTAGATAACTCTTCGTTTTTGTCTTTCAATTTATCTTTGGAGTTGTTTTTTTTTTTTTGCCACATTCTCTAATTAGCACAGTGCCTTCAGGCTATTTGTGACCTTTCCATATGTAAATAGATGGATGCTTCCCTCCCTCTCCCCTTCCTTTCTCTGCCTCTCTGTGACTTGCAGTGACAGGATGAGCTCAGTCGGAGTGAGCCAGCGCTCATGTGTGGATGGATGACACTACTCAAGGCATGTTTGGCGGGGGCCCAGGCGATATCAGGGCACGAGGTGTTTCGGTGGCACAGTGATTGACAGCTGCCAGGTGTGACACTGCCAGCCCGCCGTAGTGCGCAGCAACTGTCTGCTGTCACTTCTCTTCTTCTCAGCGGCACTCGCGCTGAGGGGGCCACCGTCCTTTCAGTCYTCTCGCTCGTGGTGCTTCAGCAGCTGGAGTGCACTAACTGCAGAGTGCACTTTGGAGAAAGTCTTATCGCCTAGTAGCTTTAGTATCTTAATCCTGGTTATGAGTTTGTTTTCTACATTAAAGCAGTTCTTTTACTCGATGTGACTTTTAGAGAYGATCACGTGGAATAACAGCAATAAAGTCTCTTAAATTTTTTTAATTTTGTAACATAATTTCCACCTTATATCCCAAGTAGCTAGATGAATGATCTGAAGTAAACTATCAACACCCCAAAATCACCCTAGTAACTCCATCTTAACCCAGMTTCATGTCCCCACACTCAGAGCAAACAAAAAATAAAATATTTGATTTGAAAGAGATGCCTAATATTGTTTGAACAAACTAAAATTTGCCAAAAACCTACACCATCCCAAAAACTGAGCTAAATAGTCTTATTTTATAGAGACAAAGTTTGTGTTACATTGTTTTTATTGTTGCTGAAACACAGAAAATTCTATTTTATGATTAGTCTCAAAAAGCAAAGTTAACTAAATCTGGGTAACACTGACAACACTGCAAAAAATGTCCACCTAACCAAGTTTTAAGATCTTATATCCAGCCAAAAAAGTCTTTTTGATCTTGATTTGACTCAGTTTTTTCTTATTTCAAGAATCTTACCAAGTAAAAAATTTCTTACTCCATTGGCAGACATTTTTGACTTAATTTGAGTTCAATTTTCAGACTAACAAGACAAATAATCTTACACATTCTGAAAACAAGATTATTATTCTTACACAATCAGTTCTTGTTTAGTAAATCAGTCTCAAAACAAGATCAAAAAGACTTTTTGGCTGGATATAAGATTTTAAAACTTGGTAAGATGGACAGTTATTGCAGTTAAACTACCGGTTTGATAAATGTGGTCCAAACATGTCAGTACCACAACTGACCCATGCATGGATCACCTCTGGGAAACTGCATCTGTGCTACCAAAGCACTGTCATTCTTTGCAGTATCTGGGCCGAACGTTACTGCTCAGGTATGGACATGTGGGCCAAAACTGAGTCAGAAAAATTTTGTGGGTGGCTACTGTTAGGTAGTTTACTGTATATAAAAGTGTTGATTTGATTTGATTTGATTTATTTATTTAACAGGAAAAGATTATTATTTAAAGTCTTTATTTACTCCCAGGGTTTTTAACGCGATGTAGTAAATCCTAAAAACCATCTCAACTAAACAATTAATCTCAGTTTATACTCTAGTTGAGTGCTTGCATAAATACAAGATATTTTTTTATTTGTGTAGAGATGCACCTTAACTAAACACTCTAGTGACAAACACAAGCATATTCCTTGTCAAAATTGTAAAATAAATAGTTTTGCTGGAGGAATTATTTTCAAGATTCACYTTTTTATTGTTAATTTTAACCTTGGACTCTTTCTCAAGTCCTTAACTCTTACCAGAACTACTCGCGTAGATCTAAAATGAGATCATGGTTCAGTTTTCAAACGCTAAATGTTTCTGATAAAGCAGAAGAGAGGGGGAATTAGACCGGGCTCTTTGGAATATTTAAAACACAAAAAGTCAACTTGTATTTTAGTCTATTCATTTCAATACATTCTTCTTGAAAAACACTCTTCATGCATTACATATTTTTGTCTCAACCCTCAGTTAAAGAAATTTCCCCTAACATTCCAGTTTTTTGCCAAACAATTCAAATTACTTGCCCAGACCCAGATTTTCAGCAGTGGTGCAGGCTCTAACTGTAGGCCAGTTACATGGACGTTAATGCTATTCAGTCATAAACTGGTGTCAAGACCTTGGTTTTGAATAATGGGATCTTTTGGCTACTCACCGGGCTCTGCTCACATACAACTTTAGGGAAGCAATTTGAAATGAGCACATATGAAAAAAAAAAAAAAAAAAAAAAACGGGTGAGACAAACTGGCCACTGATGAACTTTTCTCTGCATTAAAAATGGAACGTGCCGCCAGTACGACTTGGGTTTCTTACTCCTCAGAGACTGTGCTCAGTGTTTTAACTCACATTAGCATATATTACAGAAGAGGCGATTGGATTGCCAAACCAGATCACTTTAAAAGACGAACGCATCTGAAAGTGAACCCAGTTATTATGGCATACTAATTGACGATAATCTTCTGCGCCAGCACACTACTCAGAAATGGGTAATCTCTGACCTGTGCTAATGATAAATATAGATACAGAGCACCTGGTAAAACATAAATGGGAGCTAATAACTTAAAGTTGTCATCTTTTGACAAAGCAAGATGCAAGTAAATAAAGCATACATGTGACATAATGGTTTTACTCACACGTTACATTTATTGCCTAAACAATGCCTGCAAATGGCAGGTCCTTCTTTATTTTGCAAGAGAAAGTGTATTTACGGGCTGCTGGTGGTCCCTTGAGGCCCCCCTTTTTCCTCCTCTCAGCAGTATTTAATACCTCTAAAGTGCATAATTGCTGATCAGAGAGTCTGCATTGCTCTGTTTGGTGTGTAAAGGACTTCTTTCAACAAGGAGTGGAGAAGGGAAGGGGGAAGGAACGCTACACCTCTGGTATCATGTGCCAGACTTGTTCACAGTGGCAGGTAGCAGCGTAGACAAACACAACAGCAGAGTGGCTGTCTCAATAGCGGCTTGGTGTCTCTTTACGTGGTTCTTTTTGTGCAAGAGAACGGGGCTTGGTCAGCGTGTATCGCTGGCTGACCATCGGGTGCACAGAGAGCCACTTAATAAGTAAAGGCTCAGTGTGATTCTGATCTAGCACAGTGACCTCTAGAGAGGCACAC